GAATGTGAACAGAGCACAACCGAGTGTCTAAATGTGATGAACAGTGATAGACAGTAGAGACCTGAGAGACGCATCATGATGATGAGGTGTGTGGGCTGAGTTGATAGTCCCTATCCCAGTGCCGCGCGAGTTTTGTACTTTGGTTGCGCCATTTGCCACAGCCAGTAGCAGATTTGTCAGGCTGCTTATATGAGGCAAAATTGGTTGTCAGGATCATCGTAGCGGCTGATTGCTTTAATTAGATGGCCTTGAAGATCTGAGCTTGGCTCAAAGACTGGCTGAGTTCCATTCCTCTTCACGCTCGATGGCTGGTTCTTGAATTCCTTTTTCTTTCGAATACTTATTTTCCTCGGAGGAACTTTAATTGATAATTCTTTTATTTTGAGGTGCTTTTCAGAGCTGAAATTTTACAGCATTATATTACAGAAATTAGAAACTATCAAGTGTATCTCTTTGATGCACTAGTTTGTGTAGTTTGTGAATTTACTGTGAATTCAACATTTTAATTCACACATACCTGTACTTACCTGTAAATACTTGAATTGCAAATGCTGTTTTCATGCGGGGGTGAATAGACATTCATTTGATTAGTGCAATGTAATTCTGAGTCGTAGCTACACTCACCTGAGAGACATCTGATTGTAAATACGGAATGGTGTATATTTTGTATTATAGAATTGAGAAATTTTGTAAATAAATTCGTATCAAATATTGTGAATAGTATGGATTGGGTTTTGTTACGATCATTTTCTTGCCTGCATCCAGTCCTTCTGTTGCAGTGGCCTTAAAGTGAGCACACTGTGACACTAGCTATAGTGGATATAAAAAGCCACTATTACCAGCAATTAAATGACGAGTGTAATTTTCACAGGACCTAGATTTTTTCAAGGAATATATAAAAACTGTGATAAATTGTATTGGTTGTGAATATGTACACAAGTTTTCAAAGGGTTTCCATGTGCACTGACAATCTTGGCAAGATTGAATTGTTCCTCACCCAACAGTTGTTGAAATGTGCCTAGTCCGTCCAACTTGAAGCCTGATCTTGGTCCTTGGGCTGATTTTCCAGAGGAAAAAAAATGCATCCAGACCCTTTTTTGCAAAGCTCGGAGTATGAGGAGTTGGTAGAAACGGTCAAGTATCTTGTACCCCCTCCTTTGCTGGACCTGACTCCATCATGGGATTCTGTCAGAATCTCCAGCATGGGATTCTGAGCAGATTCTGTCAAATCTGCTCAGCACGCCTGTTTTGTTGCAGAGGACTTCCCTCACTTTTTTTTTTCTGAACAAAGATAAAGTGATTGAATGCATCAGCATTTTCAATAATGACACCGTTACATACTTAAAAATAACAAATTTAACACAGCAGCATAATTCATACAGTTCCCCTTCAAAGTCTGATCCATGACTGCATATCACACTGGGCCGGTAATCCAGAACTTGAGGTTGTGAGAATGAACAGGCTATTGCCAGCTGGCCAGAACTATTTTCTACCTCTAGTTAAATGTAGTTGACCTGTATTGAACTCTGACTTTGATTTGCTGATGCATTGTTCTTACTAACTTGCTTTCACTTTCAAATAACTCCTAAAATAGTTATGTCTTACCTTTCTCTTTGCTAAGAGATCAGTGATTTTCTCTGGAGGCTTCTTTTCAAAGCCACACCTAAATCCATTGACAAAAGATAACAAAATGTACAAAATAATTCACAATCCATGTTTATCTCAAAGAAGTTTTTGGACTGATGTATAAGTTTCTCGGCAGGTTTTCCTTGATGATCTAAGACTGCAGAATATCTTGGATCCTTTAGTATGTCGGCTTGCAAACATCAAGCTGAAGGATTGTACGTCATTCTTTTTACTCTTAATCATTACATGCACAGACTTTGATGCGTTTTGAAAATCTTGTAGGCCTCTTATTCACATGACGGAGAGCACTTGACATTCTGTTTGATCACCACCCCATATAATATCAGGGTAAGCTGGTGAATGATCAACATCGAATAAATTGTGTGCCATATTCATACCCTCTTTGAGATGTCAGGATACACAAAGATTTATTCTTATTCTGTGCTCATCTACATTTACATGTACAGTGTACTATGATTTTATAAATTATGTAAAAAAGCCTTATTGTGACTAAGTTTGTATTAAGCACACAATAGATAAATAAATTTACTGATTGTGTAGCATTTTCTGCACAATTACTTGAATTATTTGCATTTATTTCTTTTAGTGAATTTAGCATTCAGAATCTTCATTTTTAACTTTGATACCTTTTTCATTTCCTGTATATATCCTGTTTACCATTTCTTAGACACATTACTCACTGCATTTTCCTTGTAAGTGTACACCCACACAGTGTCTTGTACAGTGTATATTGCTTCCGCCTATTTGGCCTTGTTAGCCTAGAGGCTGTGGCACACTTCAGCATGCTTCATTGAAGCTTGTACTATCATCCACCAAGGACTTTGTTTTAAGGTGGAATTATTCATTCACAGTCATTGTTCTAAGAGTCCAGCTAAGACATGTGACTAAGACTTTCCTTTCTTAAGTTTTGTGACTTTAACTACGTCCTGTTTCTAACCGTATATAAGTCCTACATCATTGTACAGCTCCTCAGTATCCAGTATCCAGTATTAGTCTGCTTTTCAATTCTTCAATTCAGTCAATAGTTAGCTTACAATTCTATCGCAACCTTCTTGGTCATTCTTGCGAAGAAAGTTGGTAACAAAGCTGAATCAATACTGATTCACATGACGACCCTATAATTGTTTTGTCTTTATGGACAGGGTCTCTTTTTGGCGGTGTATTGTAAAAACAATAAAAGAAAATCAGCAAGAATTTTATTTGGAGGCAGGGACATCGATTGCTTTTTGTGTGTGTGTCTCTCCAAGCGTTTTCCCCTTATCCACCGGTACTTCATCAGTAGATGGACAACCAACCTTAGCTTGCACTGAGGTCGGCCTCTCTTACCACTTCAATAAAGTATTGAACATGCTTCAAAATTAACAAAGAACATACCAATTTTCAACTTGTCCAGGGCTGATACTTCATATTCAGGACTGTATGTGATGTATTCACCAAAGTCCGTGTCGAAAATTGTTAGGATTTCACCATCCTTGACCTTCAACACAAGTATACAAGAAACAATTAATGCAGAGGACAGTAAAAATAAGCTGGAGGTCCTGTCCACTGTGCCTTGGGTTATTATTAGAAAAAACAATAGGGCCACTGAGCAGTAGAGGATTAGGAGAGCCTTCTCCAATTCATCCTTCACTTCTGAACTTTTAGGCACCTAAATGCAAAGAATGCATTCATATTTGGTTTGAAATTTAATTTTATTATTATTTTCACTGAGCATATGAAAAGAATTACATATGAAATCTAAGCAGAACGACCCGATTATACTGTTTCTGTATTCAATGTCGTAATACTGAGCCGTTTACTAAGAATACACTTTGATTATTTTTGCAGACCAGTCTTCTAAGGTGTACTCACTCCGAGTCCACGATTATGAAATTCTTCTAGGCCTAGCCTACACATTCATCTGGGTTTGGTGCATGGATATGACGGATACTTGTATGTAACGATCATTGTGTGCCTACATAATACTGTGGCGAAAGAGGGTAGCTAGCTGCGCCGACTTGTGTTTAGTCTGGGTCATTAATAATTCAGGCACGTCTAAATCATGCATTAAACATACACACGACAACCAATCAGAGGCGCGCGTTAACTTAGGTCTGGGCGCTGGCTGCGTGGGTTGCCAGGACTTCTCAAGATGGCAGCGTGCTAACCAGAGCTCTGTGGAGTTGTGTTGTGTTCTGAGTTTCGAGTGTAAATCTGACGTACGACCGCTGGTGGTTGGGGATCTACCTCAAGTGTACCTGGTGCGATCGGTTGGTGTTGGGTGCAGACCACTAATTCAAGTGAGAATTTCTGACCAGCTCATTAGCATTAAAAGTGCCCCCTTGCACAGTATCTTTTGAAAAAGGAGATTGTTTGGCCCCCAAAATGGTGAGATTGTGTAAATCGTTGTCAGGATCAACTCCCTGGGTCTTTGAGCTTTCATATGAGGGCAGAAGGGCTGAAAACTACGGTTGAAAAATGGTCCTAAG